GGCAGTTCAAACCCACCAGCCACTCCTCAGAAGGAAGATTGGGCAACCTACTTCCATAGTGATACTGCCTCGGAAACCCAAGGAGGGGTCGCTTTGAGTCCAATCAACTTCATGACAGTGAGTTATCATAGATAATCTTGTAGGTATACAAAAAAACAAAACAAAACTCACTGCCACCCACCCAGTAGATTCCAACTCATAGTGACCCTTGTTCAGTTTCTATTGGGTTTACAATGCTGTAACCTTCAGGGAAGTAGATTGTCCCATCTTCCTTCTTCAGAGCAGCTTGTGGGCTTGAACTGCTGACCTTCTGGCACAGGTTCCACATGAACACAATTCTGTGTTCTGGAATTCCCATTCTTCACAATGTTATCCATAATTGCTTATGATCCACTTCACAATGTTATCCATAATTTCTTATGATCCACATAGTCAAATATCTATGCATAGTCAGTGAAACACAGGTAAACATCTTAGCAGCCAAATGTCTTATCCACTATACCACCAGAGCTCAGGCTTGCCAAATAAAATACAGGGCCCACAGTTAAATGTGAATGTCAGATAAATAATGTGACTAAGTTTTTAGTATAAGTATGTCCCAAATAGTTCATGGAACATATTTATATTTTTAAAACTATTTGTTTATCTGACATTCAAATTTAAATATTTTATTAAAATTATTCCTTGTTCACCTGACATTCAAATTTAACTGTGTCCTGTATCTTTATTGGCTACATCTGGCAACCCTACCTGAATGCTGTGGTAGGAGCAACTAATCTGGTCTGGAAAGACTTCCCAGAGCAGGTGGGGGTTAAGCTGAGTTGTTGTTAGGTGCTGTCAAGTCAGCTCTGACTCATAGTGATCCCCAGTACAACAGAACAAAACGCTTCTCAGTCCTGCATCATCCTCCTAATCCTTGAGTCCATTGTTACAGACATAGTCCTTGCTATGTGTGAGTCCACTGTTACAGCCACTACATTGATCCATTTTTCTTGCCCTTTTTCACTGACCCACAACTTTACCAAGCATGATATCCTTCTGCAAGGAATGTTCCTTTCTGACAATATGACCAAAGTAGGTGAGGTGAAGTCTGGCCATTTTCACTTACAAGGAGTATTCCAGCTGTACTTCTTCCAGGACAGATTTGTTTGTTCTTCTTGCAGTCCATGGTGTTTTCAATATTCTTCACCACAATTCAAAGGCATCATCTCTTCTGCAGTCTACTTAATTCATTCATTGTCCAGCATTCACATGCATATAAAGTGGTTGAAAATACTAT